CTGTTGACGTCCGACGCACGGCACTCGGCTCTTTTTTCATTACTGTAGACGAGATTTGTCAACAACCGCATGTCGCGTATCCGAGTCATCCCAAATAATTATTACAATTTTATTTGAAATATCTCCCTTAAGTATAAATACAATTCAACAATAATGCAAAACATATTATGTACCATTACCATTTTACGATAGTTATTATGAAAAACAAAAATGTTACATTAATTGATGTCTTGATTTACTCTTAATAAATATGCATGTGTAACTACGCTGCATATTAGTATATTGTACTAGCGTAGTTACATAAAAGATCCTATTATGTCAGTACTCGATTTTTTACTTGGCTTTATTAATGAAAATTTGTTTGGCACAGGTCAGGATTGATTTAAAACGATCCGTCAAAAGGTTCGTTCAGTTGTTCCTTATAAAATTATTAACTTTTAAAAACGTTGAGTCGTGTAAATAATAATTATCTCTGCACGTTAGTTTCATCATAGATGTTAACGATAGTTGTAAGTTTAAAAAAAGAATAATAAGACATCATTGGTCTAGAAGAACCAAAGCGTCGATATGCTTCTTGTACATCAACCCTCCCGCTGGCCTTGGCTACCCATTAATCAATTTGATTTTCACGCTGAATGCTTGAGAATATATACATATAATATACTGACTGTAATTTATTTAGTAACTAATAATATGAACAAATTTTAACGTCAAGAGAAAACGCCTACTGTGTATATATTACGGTAAATAAATTGACAATCAGAGATTTACATACATCACCACCAGCGCTGTACGTCCACATGGCTTATTGGAGTTCATTTCGTTTTCTAAAGTGATATCACAAAGTTCAAAAATATAGTAATTGATACATCAAAAGGGGTCCGTATGCTTAATTAACCAAAGTCAAAAGATGTCCATAGTGCCCTCCTAAACCTCTAAACCCTTAAATAATCTTAGCCTCAAGATAAATCACATAAATCGTAAAACTCTAAACTAATTTAGTTTGTTATGGGCAACAAGATCTTATGAATTAGAGTTATAAGTAACCTAAAACAGAATATTAAGACATTAATTTAGGTATTTAATATTACTGCTATGAAATAAAAAATAAAAAAATTCATGAATGGGTAAAATCACCAGTAAATTAACACAACTTAGTAAACTAACACTTATTACTGTAAAAGCAACCAGTTTTTTTAAATTAAAAAATGATATTATTTGATTAAAACAAACTGTAGTTAATAATATTAATAACAAAAAAAAAAAAAGTATCTTAATAGATCCTACAGTAGTATTATAATTTTTTATAAAATACCATTTACTGTTCTCAGAAAAATTCTAGAATAAAATGCCTTATTTAAATCGTTTATATTTAAGCAATAATGTCATTTTTTGTGACCAAAAATGGTGTATTTTAATCATTATTGTTACACTGGATATACTTATTTGTGTTAAATGTCAAATGCATATTGTATGGTTATTATTTTTATGAGAACAACAATAAATTAGTCGTCTTCAAACGACATTAAGGAGTAAATTCACACACTTTTCGTCACCCTCTTTTAATATAAGTATTAATAAAATAAGTACTTATTAATTTTAGCGATTTTGGGATGACAACAACCTTCCCGGTATCATCGTAGTAATACTCCTTGTCTTCATTTACTATTATTGCCCATACCGCCTCCTATTATTAAATATTATTATATTATATGCGCAGTTTAATTAATACGGTCTGATTTATGGGGCCTTATGAATTATTTAGAGTGCACCCGACCGACACCGCACTTTATAACAAGTTCTTCTCATTCCCCTTTTAAACACACACTCAAATGCGATAATGGTAATCGAGTTTTTCAAACTAAGTCCCACAAAGAAAAACATGAGAAAACGGTCATGTGCTACAATATCTCACGGCCACACTGTTGGGGTGATTTCGAAAAAGAAACCCAGTCCCCATTTAGTGATAATCTAATTAATAATTGCCTACGATTGAAAAATGTAAGAGGGTTGAAAAAGTGATACAAAGGACGCTATCTGGCATCGTAAGTCTCGACTTTCACGTTTCTAATATGCTGTGAGGTAAAAATACCTCTTTGTGACTTTTTATCTCGACTATATAAAGTGCTTCACTTATCATGAACCGCTTAATTAATCGAATAAGGTGTGAATAATATTGATAATTTTTTATTGTTTTCTTTTAATCGATGTTTTTCTCAATTTATCAATCATAAAGTATTTTTCATGTGCATTCCTTGTACCTTATAAGGGTGTCAACTTTAAATTTTCAAATAACAACACACATAAATAAGAAAATAACTAATCGATAATAACTTTTGGACCAATATTTCAAAAATTAGTTATTATTAATTAAAAGTATAGACTGCAGGTGAATAGTGGGTGAATAGTCATTTTTATAATGACATACTTCCTCCCGCCCAGGTATAAATATGTCAATAATTTCCGAAATACTGGTCCAAAAGTTATTATCAACCAGTAATTTTCTTAATTTGATCATTGTTTAATAAATACGTTAATTAACTATGTATCTTGCTATTTTTAAAATTGAAATTGACATCCTTATAAGATATATGGGGTGACACATAAAAATACTTTATATGTGATGAATTAAGGAAAATACTCAACTAAAAGAAACCAATTAAAAATATATCAATATTTAATTGTTATAACTGATCAAATTTATAAAATAAATAATTATGCTTCCAACTTTTAACTTTTTAAAATACATTAATTATTAAAGTATCCCTGTGAACAATAATTGATTTACCGATCGAGTAAAAGTTTTAAAATATATTATGTGTATTATATGATATAAACATTTGCATGTGCAAGTCATGTTTAACAAAACAGTCTGTGGGAACAACAAATTTCGGATATTCATTAATCGATTAAGACCACGTTAAAGTTGATCAACGTTTCAATTACTATTTTGAACAATGATTGCTTATTGCTCTTTTTCCGGTTGGAATAAATATCACTCAAAGTTTACCAGAAGGGTTTATGCTGTACGCACTTCTACCCGCATATCAACCCCTGATCAATGAAATATATACAAAAGATTTTAAAAACAAAAGAGTATTCCATTAATTCTCTTTGCGACGGTGTACAGAACCATCAACATATTAGCGTATGGGTAACTAAATTTAAAATTGTCTTTCATTAACTCTGACATTATTAGAGTGTAGCATTTAAGTCTAACTTACGTAGTGAACCATATAAAAGGGATAGTTTATTCTCAAGAAAGCATTTGTCGTACTCTATAGTAGTTTTCCATGACCGGATATGAACCGACAGATAAAAAAAACATCACTATGCCGCGATCGCTGAACCATCAAGGCCCGTTTTTCCGTCAAACGGGAAATACATCCCTTTTGCACCATTAAAAATGTATACGGAACTAATGGTACGGACTGAGAGATCATCGTATGAATAGTGTATAGCGTCAATTGTTTTTTTGCTTCGCTAAATCGAAAACACAATATGTTTTGATATTACCGGAAGTTAACTGATCTCTCCAGTATTGAAGGTTATTAAAACTAAATATCGATTTAATATAAGTGGTTATATTTATATATAAATGATGATTAAAACTAATTTGTAAATAGATATTTAATATCTTATATAATTTATACCTCTAATACACTAATTAATTTTATAGATTACATTTTGTAAAACATTTTATTTTAATAAAATTATTTTCATTATTTAAATAATTGTTTTTATAAAATAACTCACCTAATATTTTTTTAATTAATATTATTTTGAACTATAAAAAGTATACATCAATTTGAAAACTTAAGTATAATTAATCTGATATAGTTTTAGTTGAATATCTTGTGTTATTTAGTTATATCGGTTTATAGCCAATTATTATATTTTATTATTTTTATGTAAAAAAGTTTAATTTTAAGAGAGATTAATATCTTTTTAATAACATCAAATAAATATAATTAATATCAAATTATTTTTCCCGAATCAATTATTTCTTGTTGAATTCCAACTAAAAAACTATTTCTTATATTAATTAAGTTTTAAATATACTAAACGTTATGATCTTACTGGTATAAAACAGCAGGTCATCGTTTTCGAAAGGAATTTACAAATTCTTTCTTTTAAAATACTGTAAATCGAATTTTTAATGTTCTTTTATAATAACATTGCCTTGGAAGTTATTTCGAAAATATAGCTTGATGATGATAAGAAGAGTATTTTCTCATTTAAAAGTTTAAGCCTAAGACTAGCCTTAAGGCATGCAACCAAAAGTTTGTCAATAACGATAAGCATTTGAGATAGCACAATGCGCATACAAACAACTTTACATGGGGTTAATAAGCAGTAAATATTATCTAACTAAATTATGTTTTGATAAACAACTGAATATTAGTCACATTGAAATTAATTTTTTTTTTTAGAATTGATATATTCATTCACAAGCGTGATACGTAGACTAATGCATAAATATATTTTATAATATGTTTTATTACCTTTTTATTTTATTTTTAATTAACTCATTTTTATATAATGACATTAAAATCAGAAAATGATATGAGTTTACAATTTTACAACAAAAGAACTGCAATTCTTCCTGTTTTCCACAAATCGCATAGAATAATTTATAACCAATCAAATGATTTACACTAATAAATTTAGAATTAAAAAACGGTTTTTAGTTAATTTTAATAATAACTGTTTTATGGCAGTATGCATTTCCTCAAAAAAAAAAAAAATTCACTAAAAAAAGTGCTAGTTTATTGTTTTACATAAATTAGACCTGTTTGAAGGTATAATTCTTGTTTTTGATTGATTCTATATGTATTCACTTCTGACTATACGAGTTCGAATATTATAAAATTTGAATAACACGAATCATTTTAGCGGTGTCATTTGGAAAAAATTAATGCACTTCAAAGTTTTGGAAAACCCAACTATCTGACAATTAATTCAAGATTTGTCCAAAATGAATATCTAGAGATACTGACCTCAGAAAGAATGCTGCAGCCGTCGACGTTTTGGTATCCTGTACTGCAATATTGGCAGTTTGGAGCCCATAGCGTAGTCCATATCTTGCATCTGTGGCGGCGTACATGTCGGTTAGGTAAGATCGTACTCCACCGGTGACCGAGGCTTTCGCTACATCGGTGGATTGCAGCGGGGCCGATAATGTCAACGAAGAAGACTTGCGGTCTATGACGTCGATGAGCACGTGCGAGTCGACTATGCGCGGTATACGTCGACGGGCCGGCGTCGGCTGAGGGTCCTGAACACGACTGCCGCCGCCGCCCGTGACCATCGTAGACGTGTGGCCGCCTCGGTTCCGGATCTCCCCGCCAGCGGTGCATAAAGGGGAGGAGGTGGAATAAGAGGCGGCCGGCTGAGTCGGTGGAAGCGGTGGCTGTGGACGTCCTCCTGGTGACTGTGGTTGATGTTGCTGTTGCTAAACCGAAAACAAACAAACATGCACGTGAAAGGGATATCGTGGATAATGATGAACGTTGGTAAATGAACGCGCACACAAACATAAATATTCCATTTTAATTAATGACCCATTGTTATCATCATTATATACATCACGAATTATAAGGGAAATAAGAAATGGTCTTTTTATGATGACCAAAAAGTGTGTTGGTAAACTTTACTTCCGCCTTCAGTAACTAGTATCAATAAAATATGAAACAATGCACATAATTAGAGACGATTTCACTTCTATCAAGGATAGAACATTTATAGAGGAATATAGTTTTTTAGTTACGTAGAAATAAAAAACTGTGTTGGTGTAAAAATGTTAATTACTAGGTGTACACAATGGCTCTACGATTGGCATTACGTATTGTAACAAAAGAACGTATTTAATATTTACTAGAATTATTTGAAGATAATTCTCACGCGTTGACTCTAAGTAAAATGAACAGATAGGAAATGGACTCTTGATAATCTTATTCTAGAACCGTAATACTTTTAATTATTAAAAAAAGATCAAATAATAATAGAGATTTTCTTTTGTTGTTTATTATGAACAAACATATTTTATATTGTAGTATTTTTAGTATGAAAAAATAATTCATAAATGATGTTCTTATATAATTTTATGTTAAAGATATATTTAAATCGATCAAGATTTATTCAACAGTCACAGTAAAAATCTCAGTCTCAGTCGAAAAAAAAATTTCTTTTGGAAAACACAATTAAAGTTATTTATCTATTTTATTATTATTTCCATTTTCGATTTAATAAAAAGTATATCCGCCTACTTTCCAAATCGATGTTTTAGTTTATATGAATAAATGTTTTTAGGCTATGTACATTTTTAGCTTCAATGCGAAGCTAAAAAGGTATTAATTTTACTACTATGTGTTTTTTTACTGTAATCTGGACAACTCTTAATTTGTAATTGGAACAAACTGTGGTGTTAACAAGATGTAGAAAAGCTTTTTATTTGAAAATAAATCAATGATGTTATTTCAATGTATATACATTAATAAATTTGACTAAAATATTTGGCTACTAAAACAATCATTTCTTAGCAATTATTTTAATAGCTCTTAACTTAATAAATTCACTACACAAAAAGGGCTTAGATTATGTTCTTTTTTATTGGTCTTCAAGTATACTAATCAATTATTTTATAATACTAATAATCTACATAAGCTTTAAAGAGTTATTTCACCTAAACATCAATAAAATAATCGCTTAAAATGAGCAAACTGTGTATTATTTTCCTATTAAAAAGGTGTTACTTTTTAGTTTCTCCCTTTAATAGAAAGGTTTTGCAAATCAATCAATCTACCCTACTTATATGCACGTATAGCTTTATTTATATAATGTATAGTTAACTTAAGTAATAAATGTTCCGTGCACTCTTGTATAATACGAGTACTTTTTTAAGTACATTAGTCTATTTAACAACAAATTGAATGAATAGTTTTAAACTTAACATCCAAAGATATTCAATTCATAAAAAAGAGTCACTTATAATGTATACCATATATTATAAATAAAATAATATGATAGAAATTAATCATCTTGCATTGATGTAAATGGACTATTTAGTAGCTCATTACATAATAATACTTCAAAAACTCATTCTGAGTATTTTGTATACACTTTTGCTTAAACCAATTGGTTTTTTGATACAGAAGTTGGTAATATAAACTACAATCAGATATAAAAATGTACACTTGTAGTTTGCGTTTTACCAATAAAAGTTTATTCCTTCGAACAATATTGTTCTGGTAGAGTATTTAATTTTTGAAAATTATTAAAAACACATATTAGGAAGAAATATACATGAAAATATCTTCATATAAAGGTTTTCAATTCACAATTATCTGCTAAGATTAATAGACTTTAATCAATACATAATAAATGTGTAAAACATAACTAGTTACTATTATCAGCCTACGTTAAGATGTTTGTTTTCATGCTGCTCTAGAATAATCAGAGATTGTATAATAAAAATCTAGAAAACCACTTTTATTCCCTTTCATTTATCAACAAACTAAAAATTAGGCTTTTAGATTTCAAACTGTGAGTATTTTCCTTGCTATTGACATCTAACACCCGAAGGAACTACCACTCATATATAATAGTTAAATTCTATGTACTAAAAACGGCCTTTTCATTTTCTACCTGTAGATAAAAAATGAAAAAATTATTTTTAATCGACTAACATTAATTATTTATCTAACCGATATAACTTAATAGAACCAAATATCTATAAATACTCGGTTCTATTAGATAATTAATTTTACAAAATGAATTTTAAACATAATAACAATAGTTGTAACTTTTTGAAGTTGAAATGACATGAATTGTTTTATATAAATCATTTACTAAAACAATTATTCTTTCGTTTTTAATACATAACATAATATTACTTAAATATTACTTCATAAAATACTTCTACATCTATTGTTATTCAGAAAAAAATAAAATAAATCTTTTATAATTATAATTAGATACAATCTGAACTTTAACTAGAAAAAAGTTGTCTTAAGTAACCATTAAATATTAAAGATTATTTATGTTAAAATTATAATACGCACATGGTACATTCATAGATTAATGATTGTATAATATACAAAATAAGTCTACATTAATATAACATACAAGAGTGAGGTACATAACTATAGTCTTATTGATGTATAAACAAGATTAAATGTATTACAACCACAAGTAAAAACAAGTTGTTGTAATTGTTGCGGTGATCATTACAATAATTTAAAAAATGACAAGAACCGACACCAAGACAATTTAACGACTCCACTATCGATAACGATCTACGTTAGTAGATCTTACGTTCTTAGGCTTTTCTAACAACCTGTGCTTGTTCGTAAATATACATGTATAACCAATGGTTTATATCATGACTCTTACCCAAGAGAAAAAATCGCTACTTTCTCAGGTTTCCAATGGAGTATGTACCCATTGTGAAATGCATATAAGTATCTTTTTACTGTAACGACAATTGGCATTACGTTTAATAAATTCTCTACTCAAGTTATTTCGTGTAATATTTACTAGGAATTTCTTTTGATTGAATAGACTTAAAGTCATATCCATTTTGATAAGCGAAAACCGAGTATCATAATTAAGATTTACTATTTTTTGAATAACTCTCAGAATAATGTTTGGTCATGAAATTTAATTTATACTTACGGTAAAAAAACTTTTGGTGGACACCCTGTGGGAACATACGAGGGCTTAATCAAAAACGGCAAAATTCAATCTGACTCGGATCGTAAAGTGCAATTAATGATTTATGCGCCGTCAATTTTTCAGAATTAATGACTACGGACATACGCCGAAAATGGCGCCGTGGTTGATTGAAGTCAACACCCAGTAATAAAAATGGAAAATTGTATACACACAGAAAAGGGTCTAAGCCGTACGCCCAAAAGAAAATTATTGTACGTAGAAGAATTTAAAAAAAAACCACCCTCGATGAAAACTCGTATACAAATGCTTTCGCGGATGAGGGTTGTTTTATTCATCGTGTGGGCTCTGAAGAAACTTTGATTAAAAGCTGACGGCCGTGGTTCATGTTTTTTTATCACAACAGTTGCTATTACTAAACAATTGTGAAAGCGAAAAAACATTGATGTTTCATTATGTGTATCCAATTCAGATTGCTATTCAGTAAACGAGGTAGGGAAATATCAAAATCCTATAATCAGCTATTCATAGTTTAAATGTCATTAAATGAATCATATATCAGAAACACTATGACATACGATTGCTTTATTTTAAAAAGTAGCAATTTTTTAACGACATTAAATTTAAAACTTGAATAAGTAATTATGGTTAAATTTAGATAATAATCTATTATTAGAACTAGTGAAAACTACTTAATATCTTACACGTTAAGTTCAAACTCAGAACTGGAATTACTTTGTGTATATACTAAATTAGATTAGTCTAAAATTTTCATAAACAATCTTTTAAATAGAGTAATACAAATAAATCTCAGTAAAACTTTGTAGATACAAAAAATTAAATCTCCAATTAATACATTCAGCAGATTGGTAAATTTATAATAGAAATGTCTTTTTTTATAAAAATAAATTTTTCTTTAATAAATTTGAATATACTGATCCTAATAAAAAAATGTTGAAGTATAATTTAGAGTTAACATGCATATTATACTTTTTTTTTATCTTCATTAAGTTGTTATGTTTAATTTTTTAACAAATAATAGGTGTGTTATATGCTATTTGACGCACTTCAAACAAACAGTCACCATATTTGACTTAACGAATGTTGTTTACTTTATATTGTCGTCACTTAGGATTTGTAAATTCTGTTGATGGCTTATATACTAATTGGATTTCAGAACCTGTAGCAAGAAGAGGGCTGGAATATTTATAGCCCATATACAAGAGAGAGCCCAGCATAGTCTGTTTAAATCTGGTGATAATTTATTTAACTGCTTTGATTTAGATAGGGCGATGGTGAAATGGTAGGCGGATAATGCGCATAGGATAACCCATCGTACTGAATCGGTTTTTATTGTCACCAGCGTGAAGTCAGCACCCTCTAACCATTGCAACCACAGTCAAAAAGAGTAGTAAAATGCTGAGTCATCTATGCCTTCTCCTTAAACGTTAAAAATGATCACTAAATATTATTAAATGGTCAAATTGACTGTACAATAGGCACTGCATATTCGTACCAATAATTTGATAGTGCTCGGGAAATGTCAATAATTTGTTAAGTTGAACTTATGTTATCATCCTGCTATATTGGTAAAACAATCTGTACCATAAATGACTATAATATTTTATGACATATCATTTTTTTTTAGATTATCATATTGTTGTTATATCATTATTTTTGAAGATTGATATCTGGAATAACTGTTGTATAGTTCTATTGTCTCAGCAATACACCCGTATATCTTTTTTTAATTGCAAAATTTTGACTTGAACAGTTTGTCTCAAGCACCGCCAAATTTAATCTCTCATTACATTGTTAGACTTTGCCCTTGACGTTAAAACCTGCCATTTTTGATTGTGTGTATACAAAATACGTCATGATAAAATTACTCTGTGCAAGTGAGGACTTTCCCTTTTAGAAAGCGTCATAAACTTTTACGAGATGCCGAGGCCTTTTAATAATCAGAAATACACATGGTCATGGTTTTATTTACACTACACCATATGCATCGTACCGGAAAAGAATTCATTCTCTGTAATTGTTTTTATTTACTTTATACAAACACATAAAACGCCAAACATTGTTTTAACATATACGTAATGTTAGAAAAAATATACGTTATAATTGTTGTAATAGAGGTTTCAGACTTATAGTTTCTTTACAGCATAATTACATGACTACTTTTATTTTTACCATTATAGTGTTATAAATAAAATATATATTTATTACAGAAAAATATGTTAATTGATATTACGAACAAAAAAAATACAATTAAAATAATATAAAAATAAAATCTTATTTTTATTTTGGTGTAAATTTTATAACTTTCTGTAAAGTTTTTTTAAAAGCAATGACTATGTTTTTTAAGAAGTTTTTACTGACCTAATCATTAATTTTTTATACTATACACTCCAATAAAAACAGTTTTTCGCTAAAACTCGCCAGATATTCAAGTTTATAATTCACTTGGATAATTAAGGGAAAAATAGACAATGAATTTTACACTGACATTTCATACATATATATATATATATGTTGTATAACTCGTCGTATAGATTTGAAAACAGAGATCTACCGAAAAGAAAAAATAAAGTTTTGTTTGAGCTCTTAAGACAATAAGGGGCCGAAATTCGGGTCATCAATCTTGGAAATTGAGACTACCACTGGTCTTGCAATCGTACATATGGAGTTCTCTACTTGCGGTCACAAATGTTACCCCCTCGTCGGTTTTCATCCCTAAATCGCGTTTATGCGTTTTCGGTATAACTTTCCGCATATCCTCTAAAATACCTTCTTGAATGATAAAGACTCCCCTCGTTAAACGTACGGAAATATATCTTGGTAAAAATAAAAGAAACTTTTTGAAACTAAGGAAATTTTGGGTTGTTAAGCTTTATTGTCACCATACTGTATACAAAGTGCCTTCCCTCTTTGAGAACAATTACAAATGAAAGATAATACGTTCCTCCATTAGTTCAACATTATTTTACTTTCGTCGTTGCTTGAGCGACAACCCTGTGATAACAGGGGGCAATTAGAGGACAAATATTTAATTAAATGATTCATTTTAATCGTAATAAACTTTTAAATAGTTTAAACATAGATACAATTTTCAAAATTATAGTAAAATATTAAGATGCATTATTTTTATGACACAAAGAAAGCAGAGGGATTTAATATGATTACATAATAATTCTAAATAATTGTATTCGAATTTTTATTAATAATGTTTAATTCAATTATTTACCTAAATTATTTTTTTATGAAAATGTCTTTAAGTTCTTTGTATTCCAAATACCTCATATACAGAGTTTTCAAAAATTTAGAAAACAGGCTAATTGTTACAAACAATGAGAACAATAGAAACTTGTTTCCTTACTTACTGAACATACTGTATATTAGATACTTGAAATACAAAGAACTTAGTAAAAGAAAATAATAAATATTGATCACGTGTGGCTAATATTATTTAAAATTGATATTTTAGATTGGAAAAAATCTTGCGAACTTAAATTATATTATTATAAAAACTTATACAATAATTCATTAATTGATTTTTATAATTATAACATGCTAATGTAAAAAGTAATTTTTAAAATTTAACTAACATAAAATGATATGACTAAATTTGTCATATTTATAAAAACTCATAATCAATACTATTATGTTATTTATATACAAAAATAAAATAATAATATCCAAAATACTTACTTTAAGTTTGTTTTGTTTTTCTTTTGATTGATATTCATCAAATCGCTGTAGTTTCAAATGAGCCGCTAATGAAGATTTATAGGTTTTTTGATATTTAGCGATTTTTAATTTAGGAACTCTAAAATAAAAAATTAACAACAATGTTATGAAAAAGTATAAAATGCATAGAATTATAAAAACAAAAACTTGTCAACTTAAATCAATTTTTGTATGATACACGGTTTTATTGTATGAAAAAGTTTTATGTTATTACTTTTCACGAATTGATTTATAATTAGAATTCATGATAATTCAAGTTTCATTATCACGATAATTTAAAATTTAACTAATAATGAAGATTCGTCTAGGTGTACTCGAAAATTCCTAAAATTTTATCTTAGGCATAAATGTAATGGAGTTTGTGAACTAAAATTAATATTTTCTTATGATGACAATCTATTTTAAATATTTAAAATAAATTTATTATTAATATTTCTTAATTGTTTTGATCTATTTCAGAAGGTGATGAGAATATTATAATCTTTTCCCAAAATACCAATAAAACTTTTTAAAACGATTTCTTAAAAACAATGATATAATTGAATAAAAAATATAAATTCTTCACACAAAATCTGTTATTTCGAGATGTAATATTTTTACTATTTTTGCGATGCCAGATGTATTTAAAATTTATTACATTCTAGTTAAGTTATATTTTTTTGAGATCATTTGTAGATTTTTCTAAAAATTAATTCAATATTTTTAGCTAATGTAACAATTGAATATATATATATATACATTTTATTAGATATATAAACTTTTGTCTTTTAAAATAATATCTATTCATAACCAATGCGTTACGCTATCTATTAAAATTGATTACAACTTTTAACTATTCTGAATGTCCACTGGAGAGCGCCACATCAGATATTATGTAGTCCTTTGATGAACTTTAAGTAAGGGCAGTTTTCGCGATATATATTAAAAAATTTTTTTACATTTTTATTTATCTAAATAAGGAGTTAATTTAAGTTAAACTTTTTAATTCAGCGGTAATATTTAGATTTTACGTAATCTTTATTTTGATTTGATTTATTTTTGGTTTATTTAACAATTAGTTAAGATTATATTTTTTGTATTTCCTGTTAAATATCTCTTTTTAAATTAATTTAAAATATAATAACTTTAGTTTGATTGGGTTGGGTTTTGATGTAAATAATTTTAATAGTCAAATTTAATTGAATAGAAAAAAATAGGAAGAATGAAAAATTATTATAAGCACAACAATTTTATCATTCAACACTAAATTTTTGTAATCTCACTGATAACTAAACTGGTTCAGTTAGAGTTTTCACCTTTTCATTTAATTTGTTTTAAAAAAACTTTAATTGCTTAATTTTATTTAATTAAACAAAATTATTGTCTTATGTAGTATTGCATTGCAATGTGCAATAGTAAAATAATATTTAAATTAAATCAAAAAAACGTTTGGAAATATATTTGTAACTTACTCTTCTATTTGTTTTTTAGGCATAGGAGTAGGAATTCGCGGAGGTAATACTGGAATAGGAGTCGCTTTTCTTGTTAGCTTTGGAATGGATTTTTGTTTACTTCGACCACCCATAATTGAAGCCATATCTCCATGGCCAAAAGGCCTTCTATAAGTTGTCACTTCCACTGTGGTAGTCATCTAAAATAAAAATTAATTGAATTTGATTTTACGAACAAATATTTACTTCTAATTGACTATTTGTTTTTTATTATGTTAGATTAGTAATTAACAAATATATAGATATTTTTAATCAAATATACATTTGTACTTGTTTTCTATTTTAAACGATAAAATATTTGATTACAATTCATGAACGATTATTTTGTTTTTTTTAAATTTAACTATTAAAACATAAAGTGAAATATTATTTTTGTTTTTCTGTATACTAAAAAAAATTTGAATTTCTATTGCTAAAGACTGAGGGAAAACAGTAATTTATTTTTTGTTACTTCATCAAAACGCAACAAAAACTAAACGCGGTTAAATGAAACTAGTAAAATGTTTACATTTCTCTATATAAGATATCGATTGTGCAAAATAAACGATTATGTGACATAAAAGAAACCTATCTGAGTGAAAACAAAAATATTGGGGTTCATGTAAACGACACCGCACTGATAAAACTTCATGTCAACGCCAGATAGCGATTGTTTGAAAAATAATAATGGTGAAAGAAGTCTTACACTAACTACGGATTCATTATTTTACTAAATAATCAACGGTCTACTATCAGTCACATTTAAGCTATAAGTATCATTGTTAGGGTTCATACTAATATAATGAAACAATTTTTCATTTATTTCTACGAGTAAATGAATCTACATGATTAAAAAAATAGTAAAGTTAATGATAGTCAAATCCTTATGTCAATTCTTGCGTACAATATTATCCGCAAATATTATTTTGATGTTTTGTTAGCGACGTCCCAGTGCTTAGTAATACATTTATACAAATATAAAATCAGCAATAGCAAAACCATAGATATCATAAAGAAAGGGTGACACACACACGCGGCCGCTCCTAATCATATTATATAAACGGGCACCCTACTGACAGAGAGGAAGGCACGGGAGTGTTTTTCTTTATCCCTCGTTTATTGCACACTGACCCTACGCCGTCGCTCCTTTGACTGCGTGTAATTTATCGCATTCTGCTGATTAAAAATGATCGCAGATGTATAAAACATCCGGGACATTGTTTGATAGTGACCAAATCATAATAAACTTTCTCACACGCACATCTACAGTAGATTAAGTATAAAGTGTTTCTATCATAACATCATCGAAAAGCACATGTAACCCTGTGAAATATTAAATACATTGTAATTCTTGTCGGATCCACGATATTAATGGTACAAAACATTTTTCAAAATTAATACACAACTATAGATATTTAACTACAGGATTAGGGTAGTTTTTTATTTTACGATCAAATCATTTTTTCCTCGTATTATTCATACACATTAAAAACTACAGTAGTTGCCTAAATATTAACTCAATAATAATAATATATATATATATATATACTGCATGATTATATACGACTTTTTAAGAAACACATGGTAACGATATTTTTGATAGACTATTATTTTGGTGTACATAATTGATTAAAAAATAGAACATCAATAACATTCATACCGAATGAGTTACCTTAGATTTCAAATACTTAAAAAACATTTACATAAGGAATAGTTTGGCAAGATATCAGAAAACATAAACAGAATGGTTAAAATAAAGCTAATTGTGGAACGAATACCGTCTGGAGTCATTTATACGCTCGTATGTCATAATAATATTCTCGATAGTATTTTTTTTCTACTTTATTTCTTAACCGCCTACCAACTTTTATTTTTTTTTTATAGGGCAGAATATACAAGTAAAGGGTACGAGCTAAAAGGGATCTCTTTCATCTGCATAAAACAGTTTGTCATAACTAACAAACATATAAGTTTAAAAAACTACAAAGGTACGATAAATTTTGAGTTGAAAATTAATCATGACAATTTCGAGGCGGTAAATTCTTATTAGACGCTATACGTGTGAGGTCACATTTAGGAAGTATTCCAAACTCAAGTTTGGCAATTAATTTTTTCAGTTTTACTAATCATCATTAATTATATAGAAATGTTTTAGTTGTCTAACTCTTTGCTATTATGTAATCTTAAGACTTCTGGCGAAAAATTAAATGCAGCATTGATTAAAAAGTTAACCTTGTATGACATTTTGTAATTAAAATATATCTAAACACATTAGTTAATAATTATTATTACAAAATGTTTATATCAATTGACTGAACTCGTTTTATTATTAAGGTAAAACCAAATAATACCATTACTATTAATTATTACAATAATAATATTTAAAAAAATAAATATAACACTATAATATAAAAAAGAACTGCTAACGTTAATTTTTCAAATAAACAAAACGAATTTAAAATCCTAAATTCTATACATACTGACAAGAGTTATAATTAGTTCGTCTTAAGATATAAAAATGTTAGCAGATATGAAAAATGAAAAATTAAGAAATTGAACTGATTTGGGTTTTTCTGACATGTTCACAATATCTAGTAAATTATTTGATCTATATCGAATTTTTTACAAGAATTTGTGAGGTTAATATTTGTAGAAACTATTATGAAGTCATTTTTAAAACCTTAACCAAACTAAACATTTGACTATATAAAGTTTAAAAACCAAAATTAATCGATGTATATTTATTAGTTAATTTCTATTTTGAACTATTTTAAAATCAAATTATAAGTTCAATTATAAGGTTTAAAAAGACAGTTTAATCATATTTTTAGGGTTTGTCATCGTTTTTTCAACATTTACTAAAAAAATATTCAATACATATTAGTTCAATTTACTAAAACTAAGAAAAATTGCTTAAACCGAAATTATATCTGTCCCGAGTCCTGAAATTTACTTGATATTTATCTTAAATAAAATAGAGTATCTTGTATAATTGAAATTCTAAATAAAATTAATAATTAGCTTTTTTTTAATAGTAAAGTTTTCATTTAATAAATAAATAGAGACATTTTTTTAAGCATTATTGCTTTAACTATGCTACAAAGATTGATTTTATCTATTTTAAAATTCGACTATAATTCAATTAATAATTTACAATAATTAAAATTAAGAATTCAAGATGAAATAATTTTGTCATAACTGAAACTTTTGATCTCAAGATTTTGAAAGAATTTTCGCTAATAAAGTCAAAATGGCGCAAAAAACTTTGTTTTTTTATTAATTTAATTAAATTACTTAAACTCAATTGTTTTTTAATGTTAATTTTGTGTTTAAAATATTTTACTGCATTCATTAAAAGATTCACTGGAACTTAAATGAAGCTCTAAAAATCCGTTGTAGTAATTAAGAGTTTATTCATACTTGAAATAACAGGATAATAAAAGTCTCATTTAAACATAGAAGTAGTAAATTATTTGAATCCGAAGACTTAATTTTTGCAGTATTGTGATTTCTTGTGGTGTTGTTCATAAAGAAATCCATTGTTTTTTTTTTTCATGTTTTTATCAGTTTTACTATGAAAAAAACTTGTTATAGAATTGTGGCAATAAAACATCCCTTTAGAAAACCTATTAAAACAATGTTCTCCATTATTAGACGGTGCCTTTTATGAAACGTTACACGTGTTTACAAAGCGAAAAAACGAAACCTTGTACATGTCATAATATTAAAAGCGACTTTAAGTATTGTGTATGCCATGCAACATTTGTAGTGTTGTAAAAAACTAGATAATATGTCCCCGCCGAGTAATACACTACACGGCGTCTACACGTTGAGTGGCTGTCGACGACACCGTATTAACTGTAAATCTAGATATGGTTTCCATTACTGTAAACAGCCCAAAAGGAAACATGTATCTTTCTACCGCTTCTGAAATCCGTTGTTTCGTAATGAAACGTGCACCTATAGGTGTAGTACGCACTTGAAACAGACACAAATAACATTTATGCAACAAAAATCATTAAATCATTTTAATTTCTACAATTTTCCGTGTACTCGAAAACGCCTACAAGTATAGTAATCCATAGTGTCTGTGCACATACAGTCAAACTGCAATTGAATTTTCTAGAAAATTCTCACGGACGTTCAATAACGTTATAATGTCTACCTAAGTGTTGGCTGAATATCATCTCTGTGGCGGTTGTAGAGAACTTTTGTGATCAAACGCCAATACAGAAATATATCCATGTAACGACCTCGGAGCGTTTCGATCACACACTGATCAATAGGTACCGGTTGATAGCTAAACTACTTTGGGACAAGTGCATTGAATGAAGATTATACGGATAAGGAAGTCGTTTCAGTGTCACTAGTGAGTTTGCATAACATTACTGCCTTAAGAGAGCTTGCGAATAATCCAACGCCGGCGACAGGAAGTGAGAAACGGTTGATTTTTTTCCACGAGTATCAGCAATGGAGGGAAGGTGGCCATTAAAAATGACTGGGAAAAGTACCAGTTACGTATGTAGAGTTTTTTCTGCGGTTCGTCGTGAATTTCGCGCCACTTCACGGGGTAGTTCCTTCCGGTTTGACAACAATGAACACGGAGACTCGCCATTTTTCCCCTGTTCGACATAAGCACGCGTGGACCATTGTATTGGCCTTCCCCGCCGATTCCAATTATAACGCTACTCGTCACGGCCAACTCGTGTTTATTGCAAGTGCCCGTCGACGACCGCGGGTACAAAAACAAACAGCTGCCACTTGCCCTCCTACCCGTCACAACATTAGGCATCGGTGAAAAGTGCACGTAATCACAGCTATTATTATTACCGTTCCGACTACACATTCGCACTCGGTGCAGTTTCCTTGCACTCAATGGACTTATGTGCGTCTGTTATACAATAGCGTCGAATCGTCAACGGCAAAATGTTGTCTACACTTTCAATTCTTTATTCGAGGGCTGCAATCCTATTCGTGACAATGATGTTGTGTAAATGTCCATAAAAAAAAAAAAGCCCGCGGCATTTTCGATTAACTTCGTCGATTTTATTATTACGATTAAAGTGTCCAGTGGTGTAGCCACAGAATTTTACAGTGAGGGGAGGCCATATTTAAACAATTTACAAAATCCCTTAATTCGTACTTTTTTTTTACTCGTCACTTCATTTAAGAGATGAGTATTGATGTCAATGGGGGAGCCCGGTTCCCCTCATTCCCTATGGCTACGCCTGACCGAAATGTCACATTAAAACCGTTATGTTATTGTATGAACTGAAAATAATAGTTGAGGATAACCACGAGATATTACTGTCTAGGGTTTGAACTTTAAAAAACCATCTTTATTATTTATATATTTCACCTACGGCTTCACTATTTTAGGAATATACGATCAAAATGCATTATAGATAAAACTGATTCATTGTGTTTGATATCACAACAGATGTTTATCAACACTACTATGGGCATTGAGAATCATTAACGCGTATTATACGTGTTTAAATGAAGTTTACAATAAACCTCGTTTATAGTTTCATCTGATAAATAACATATAGAGTATGAGTATCTATAATTTACAATTGACTTCACTATGGAATGGCATGTGTTGGATAGTTCATTAAGTCGTACAATGTTTCATAAACGCTTCAAGCTACTATTCCACAAAAATTAAACTTTTTGATTTGAAAAATTAGTGATCACTAATAACACAAGAATATTCAACCTAGTAACAAAAAAAAAAAAAATGCAAAGAGCCCTGCAAAACTGTTTAATTTATACTGCTGACTTGTTGTTAAAATGAATGTAATGTTAAAAATGTTAAAAATTTCTCAGGAGTTTATATTGAGGATATAGTTTATTTTTTAGTAGAAGGCTTGTTGATTAATTATGTTTATTTATAATAAAATAGATGGTTGAAAACACAAATATCTATTAAACTCCACTTCAAAAAGAAAAAGTCACCAAATATTTTAGCATGTACAATGCTATTTTTACTATTGATTTTATAGACAAAAATTGTATTTGTTTTTAATTTCCTGCAAAAATAATTAAAACGCTACTTATACTTAACTTGCAATTCAACATTTCTTTTAATAATATCACTACAGTTCGTAATATATTTCCTTGTGCTCTGCGTATTTTTACATGCCTAAAAATATAAACTTAAATCTCACCATTAATACAAGTAATTTATATTTATTCGAATATTCGTTCATTTTGACATTGGATGCCGACAATTTGTTTACATAAATATGCTCCGACATAGATTTTAAATCAAATACCGTTGACCACGTGTAGATTACGGTTTTTATTACATAAACACCCACTTCCTTGTTATACCGAAAAGAACTATATATTTTTTGTTATATTTCGGTAATAGGAACTAGTCTGCACAATTTGGACCAAAGAAGAAAAAACAAATACATACTAATAAAAATAGTAATTTATTTCCAAAATATACGTAAAACTTGAATCACAAGTTTGAGTGGCAAATTGTTTTAAAATTCATAAAATTTCTATACATATTTTATTGATATTTACTTACAAATTTGTGTCATAATTTTTAATAAAAAAGAACATACAGAAAAGAGTTTGTTTAAAATTTCCACCAATCTCAATAATTTACTTATGAATAGAAATCTTAAAACATTTGTATTGAAAAATATTCATATTAATCGTATGTTGTGAGCAGTTTGACGGGTGTGTTCAAACGTATTAGAACAATGTTATGTTTTTTGACAGATTTTCCAGTAGACGCAAATGACAAAAAACAATGATCGAGGGTTGGAATAGCACGAGGGTCTGGTATGTTTTACGTTAGACCTTTGTTTTAACTCATATTATATTGGACGGGGCTCGTGGTTTTATATGCTGAGACATGATAAAATCCATGCGACACAAGAGCACTAGAAATTTACACTAGGGCTAAAAAGTAGTTGACACCCTGTCATTCATGACAGAAATGTTTTATATTTTTCTCGAGTGATTATTATCTCAGAAGTGTTACATATTGATAAAATTTATAAGTCCTCAAATATGATTTTTGATTACTTGCATTTTTTTAGCTTTAGAATAATTTACAGCTTTTAATTTAAAATTTCTTTTTAATAATAAAAACTGTTATTAAAATATTTAGTAACAAATAAACTTTTATATATGTTTTTTTCAACTCTCTCTCCAAAGCGTAGCCAAAGGAAAACAATTAGGATAGTTTGATCCTCTAAAGTTTCTTCGGTCGATCAAAAGGATTTGTTTACCTTCCCACGAACTTTTATTTTCATGAAAAAAATTGTTTAAATATAGCCACGATTTTTACATGTTTAGAACTTAATAAAATATCCTTACTTTGGTTAAAAAAAAACAAAAACGACCGATTACAAATACATCTTCTCAATTTTCAAAATATGCTGCACCATGTTAGAAAATCACCGGGAGAACAAAATTACTTAAAAAAAATACTAGAAGTACAAACCACAATAAAAATAGTACACTCGATGAGAATTGTTTTCGCAGTCTAATCGACTCGGAATAATTAATACGCGATCAATTTGAGAACACAAAATGTAAACGGCGAGCGCGGGACGCACATTTCGGTAAACGCGGGACGGACACCTCGGTAAGCGCGGGACGAACACGAGTACTGAACTGCATCAACGTGGTGCAAAGCGGCCGAGGCGACGTACGAATAATATGCCCCGCTGCTATACAGAGTGATCAAGTGGACACATGTCGCAGCAACTATGAGAACCGGCGGCGGCAGTACTTGTTTAACAGATATAAACGACCAATAGTAATAATAATTATTACTCTACGCGCATAAATTCTGTTATACACTGTACGTTATGGACGCGTGTTACGACCGCGTTATCGCTTTTTAAATAGTAATATCGTTTTATAATGGATCGGGAACCCGGAACGTCATGTTTTTAGGTACAATAAAAACAAGTATCGCCGTCAGAGTGCAACGACCAAAAAATATTAATAATTAAAACTCTAAGGTCGTATGTCTTATAATTTTATATTTAAACCATCTCGTCATAATTATATTACAAGTAACGTGTAGTCTAAGAAAAAATAGTAATTATGCTCAGTGAAGCAACTTGGGTAAACATTTTGGAGATGCTAAAATTCTATGAAACTCATAAGTGAGTTGTGAGAACGAAGCCCCCATTACTTTATCGCCCAAATAACTTAATGTCTAGTTACATTAAATAAAATATATAAATCGACAATTTATTTAGTTAGCAACTTCCTATCGATAACTGTTATTTTAATACGTTAATAACTCGATTCATAGACGGCTCATCATTAATGAATGAGGTTGATATTGAAATGTCACCCAGCTAACACAAAATCACAATTTTATCTGCTACCGGAGTAGTATAGTCTAATTTTCAAACAACATTTAAAAATAAATTGATAATGCAAAAACAAAAAAAAGATAAAGCTTTATAAATAATGTTACATAGTTCAAACTACAAATATTAAAAATTCAGGTAAGGTGCTAGTGTCAGGAGATGCTGAAACATCCAACAGCGTCCCCAGTGTTCAAACCAATGGAAACATATCCAATTTTAAAATAGAACAAAAATACAGGGAAGGATGATTTACATATTATCTTTTAAATAAACATCATTGTAAAACACTATTAATAATTATTAATAGTGTTTTTTTTTTTGTTACAACTGTTCTTTAATCAGTTTTTACGAATAAAATTTTATTCACATAAAATCATAGCTTTTTTCGAATTCGTGTGAATTAACTCATCAAAAATAATGTTTAATCAACTTTCAAGTGAAAGCAAGCACAATAGTTATTAAAATAAAAATTTTTATTTAAAGATAAATTGTTGCATTTTCAAATAAATTTATCAAAATAATAATAATTATAATTTTACTTTAACAACCAGAAATAAGTATAATATTTTCATTGCTTTATTGATTTTCTTAAATTTTTTGATAATTCGACAAAAACGTTGCTGAAATTTAAAAAAAATAATATCTTTTTTGCAAACTACAAATATATAATTATAAATATTATTTACTTAAGTAAATGAAATATTCATTTGACATAACATCAAATACTTATAAAAAAAAGATAATATTTTTAATTATGTTTTCAAATTTTTACTAAAAATTACTATGCAAATTTATTTAACCGATAGCAAAGCTATTGGAAACATGATCAACTTAATATTAATAATTAGCCTAAAATTTCTTTATATAGTTCAGCTTTGTTAAAACATTCAATTTTGAAGTAATTTATTAATGAAGTATCTTAAACATCTTTCTAAATTTATAATTTATTTCTTTTACTGTTTCTAAACGAATGTTGGCTAACTTTATTATCTGATAAAGATGTTGAGTGAGCAAAAAAAAAACTGGAGAAATGTCTCTGAAATATGCTGTTCAAAAGAACAGATTTAATCCATATACAAGAAGTTCAAAACAAATTTTAAAGTAATTTAAAAAAGAAAATATTTTTGTAAAAACCATGTTAGTCTGACGCATATCTCAATTTGTATTAATGTACTCTAAAAATAATATACTATTTATTCTTTTCTAAAGAATAAGCCTTTTTGATAATACTTTTCATTTACAAAAATGTTTGTATAAGTTTATTTATGGTTACCTATTTTAATTTATATTCATATTTAATAATTTAATAAAACTTTGATCAATTTTTAATAAATAAAACTATCAAATATACTCATGTGAGTGCTATTATAACCACGTGACCATTTTCATGAGTTATAACTAATTAGAACGATTTTTAAATTAAAATAAAAATACGATATTTTTCAGTTCTGTTTTTCTTAAAGGGTATTCCAAATCATTTAATCGCTAAAGATGACATAAACAGGAAATAAACTAATGGAGTGATTGCTAATGAAAAACTCAAATCTTTCGTTCATTTTCTAAAAGTGGTTTTTACTCGAATATAGATGAGTTGCAATGTGTTTCTATGCATTATGAAGTAATATCACATTCGGATGAATCGGAACAAATAGATTTCACCATCGATTCCATCGATAATGCGCCTTTAGGTAATTATGTTGATAGCATATATTAGAATCGTGTTAATGAAAATAATGTTTAAAATGATAGTGTCGGCAAATGTTTAAGATATAAAGTTTTTAGAGAGGTGCGTTATATACCGTATGAAAATAAAATGGATCATTTATCAAACGTAAATCGTCCAACACTGCTAATAGGAACAAATCGATTCAACTATGCGACATCATGAAAACGATTTTGAGCTGCGATGATAAAGTCTACAAGTTGAAAACTTGGCGTGAAATTGGCTAACAAGCTTTACTTTAAGCTGAATATTGCTAATGAAATCAGTAAAAATAAATAACGTTTAAAAATGCTGCGTTGAACGAATCTATCAATGACTTTAATGACACGGTTACTAAAATATTAAAATCAGTTAAGACCATCTATCAAGAGAACTGTAAAAAAATGACCATATTGACATCTCCCAGATTAAATGTAACCCGAAACAGTTATTCGTGCTTACGATTTGGCTGTTCACTTTCGGAACTGCTGTATTTTTATTCAGAATCGGTCAACGTGTCCCGGTTGCATTAAAAATATTTTTTCTAAGGCAACTGAACGTGAACACGCAGACCGAATAATTTTCATCTAGTCTTGTGTTAATCAAAATTACATTCTGTTGCTTTATCTTAAAAAAACGATTTAGTCATACTTACAGTATAACAACAATTATTCAACAGCAAGGTTATGTTGATTATTTGTTCAAAAACATACTACGTCACTAGCAAATGTTTTTATTTCAAGTAATCCACGATATTTGAGTAAGAATATGCAAGACAATAATTAGATGAAATCGTCCTAAAAGATATTCCTTGAAATTGACGGTAAACGTATCAAACACTACAATTTACAGTTAAAAAAACAATTTGCAATTTATCCAGCTTTGTATATTTAAATTTTAGAAGTATATCAGGTATATTTTCTATTTGGTATGTTTCTAGCATGGTCCAAACCCAAAAAGAATTCAAATATAGATTTTTTATTAAATAATAGCATTTAAAATAGTTATTAAGAAAAGTTGATACCACTGTTTTTCATAAAAAATACAATAAATACAATTAAGGATTAATTTAATTAAGATAATATTAACATTTGTTAAAATATCATTTCAAGATTTTTCAGCTTCTCTTAAGATAATTCATAAAACTCTTAAAAGTTATTATTGTTTATGTAAACTTTATACATAAATAATTTATGACAAATAAATTATTTTAAAATCTAAAAACTATTTTAATTCGTATTCATTTTGATATTCAAATGACATTTAAATTTTTCGTGAACTTTTTGCTTTAATCGGAATGACCAGTGTCGCGTCACTAGAATAAAAATCCTAACATTACGATAGATTCACAGAGCTATGGAGACCAAAGCCCCTCATACTTGTCAATCCCCATACATTACTATATCGTCAAAATAATGTAATGTCCAATTTATTTGAAATTCATTTTTGAAAAATACGTACTTTGAATGTTAACATATATTTCAATCGTTTTTAGAAAAATATATTTTAAATTTTTCTAGTGATAATGAAGAATTGAACACTTATTTACTTTGAGAGCTAACAAAAATGTTGAATTCTTTTCTTTCTTTTGAATAATTTCGAAAAATTGAAAAATGTTCCGTGGTTTTTCCAAAAAAAAAACAATAAATAATAAAAATTCAAAATATTCAGGAATATTAGACATTTTCACAATATTAAATTTTATATCATTGCTAATGATATAACTAAATTAACTCTATCAATTTTATAAGTTACCTACAAAAAAAGAAAAAAAATCTATAGTTTATTTCTAATTTATATTTATAGTTTATCTTATATTCTATATTTTAATGTCGATAAAAATAGTAGAGATGTTAAAATAATAACTATTAAAACTGATCAATGTTTTTACTCAATAAACATTAGGTTTTGATGATTAAACAAAAAATTTTATAATGAAAAAAATAAATTATTATTTTTTGATTACATAATAAATAATAATATATGACAATTAAAAATCTCAATAGAATCCATTCACCAATTTTACATATGTTGTGAATGATATAAATCTGTAAATTTAATAAACTTAAAATTTCTAAATGTGTATAATTAAATGATCGAAAAGTCAATACTTTCAACAACACTCAATAATACATTTACTGCTTTCGCTTGTGACTGTATTGTCAAATGCACATAAATAATAAACATTTATGTAGGTATACTATGATATATAATACTAGTGTAGACCAATACTACAATATATCACAGTGAAATTTTTATATATAATAAAGTTTTTCGATAAAACCTTACGGACTTCAAAAAAGTTTCTAAAAAGACTTTAACGGAGATCTACTCAATGTGAATGAATAATGTGCATTAAATTAAATAAATTTTCTAAAACAATGCATTATTCTTCTTTTAGAAATGTGTTCATTATTACTATTCTGGAATAAGGTATTCAAGTTTTCATATATTTCACCCTTGTTAAAAATATAGCTGGAAACATTTGCTAAACTTTTTAGTTTTTGACATTTTTATTGACAAAACTTATTCATTTTATTCATTTAAAACTTGAATTTTAAAAATTCAGAATTAATACTTTTATAATTTTCATTTGATTTCATTGGTCAAGCTAATCAAAAATGTGTTAACTTTTTTTTTTATCACTTATTAAACTAGCAAAATAATTTTTATAACGATATATAAATTGAATTTTTAAACATTCTGCATACATATTTTAAATATTATCTTCAATCATTGATTGCACCATTTTATGGGGACGATCATCAATGAGAGCTTCCAAGGCTAACAATCGGCTTGGACCTTTTAGAAGATCTTTATCATCAGCTAAACGTTTTAATAAAGAACCCGCATCTGTAACACAACTGTAACTCCAATGAGTCCTGTAAATATCAACTAAGGCTTCAGAAATACACTCAGCGTCCTCGCAAAGTAGTTGATTTTCTCCATTTACTAACATGACACAAAAATGTATAGAAATTCCGCAAATAGTATGACTTTCGCTTTTTAATAACTTTGTCAAATGTCGCACCACTCTATGACGCATCTGTGACCATTGAACAACACCACATTGTTGATAAAGTGATATCAAAACTTTACACCACGGCAAATGTAACGTTGAATTAATAGTTGACCAATTTGTCAATATGTACTCCATAAAAATGACTGATAGGTTTGGATTTATGCGTCGTATTGCTGATTGATAACAAAATTCCAGCGACATAATATAATGAACCAAACCATTACGTTTCATTAAAGGTAACAATACCTATAAATTTTTTTACACGAATTATAAAATGAATGTTTCAATTAAAACTAAAAATATATTTATTAAATTAAGTTTTATAAAAAGATCATTTATATATTTAAATACAGTAGATTAAAATATAATAATAATATAACGAATTATAAATAAATTATAAATTTTAAATATATATTTTTAATGTTCCAAAATAGTCACGAGTAAATGTTTTGAAAATAAATGATAACCTTAATAAGTAATGTCTCTTTCACTGAATTTTTTTCAAAATAAATTTGAAATATTTCAAGCAATTCTTTTACACCCATAAAATCACTGATTTGTTGATAACCGTAATCAGTTAAAGAATTAATAACGGCATAGTAAATATCTTTCCTCAAAATAAACATTTTTTCGTATAATTTCAAAAGAATTTGTTTAATCCACAACCGTTCAGCCTCCATACAACTGTCCAGGCGTCTTATAGATAAATTTATAAATTTTTTGTCAATGTATATTATAGCTTTTTCTGGGTCGAATCCATCAAGACACAGAAAAGCATCAAAAACATTATATACTGGACTTAACTGTTGGAACTCCCACATCATTTCATTACTTATTTCTTCATTGCTCATATAAGATGATTTTGGCAATGATCGAAAAACGTTCTCAGAAAACATCACTACGAATGGAAAAATTACTTTGATAAATTTTTAACCTTTATAAAATAAAACATTTTAAATTAATCATAAATAAAAAGTCCACATGGTTTACCACAAACTTGCTTATACACCTCGGATGGATATAAGCTATCTAACAACTTATTTGACCACATGTTATGTAAAATACTCAAATTATTCATTTTTTGTTTTAACTCCTGATCTTCAACAATTGTTGGTACTGGAAAATATTTTGAACACACCTTGAGCATTTTTAGTATTGTTTCAATTGATTCCATTTCTTCGTTGTAATAATAATTCATTGTTGTTTTTTTAAGACCTTATTAATATGATTAGTAAAATGTAATACTTAAAATAATTTTTAAAACTAAAATCTAAGGTAATTTATTAATGAAACAAAACGTAGATGCAAATATTTGTTAACCTGTTATAAACAATTGTAACCTTAGATATCGAATATTATACAATTAAATATCTTTCGAATAAAAATTTATTATTTAATATCACGCATGTTGTTTAATAAACAAAATGAAATAAAAATAACTCTTTTATTTAATTATTTGTTATATTATTGTTGCAATCACGTTTTTTCATTACTTGAATAATTTAATACCACTTAGTATTATGAAGAGTCATTACGCCATTTTACCTTTTTTATAATGTTAACAAATTTCCTGAACTACGAGTTTATCTTATAAAACTATTGTTTAGCCATTTTCTCAATATAAATAATCTACTTTGGTTGTTAATTTCTAAATCAATTCAATCAAAATAAATAATGATAAATGGTTATAAATGTATACTATTTTCTTATTAAGTAAAAGAAATAAATACTAAAATAAAAAAATAAAAGAGGGTATTGAAACCAAAAAAAAAAAAACTAATCACTCAATAAGAAAGTTTTACTCAAATAATCGCCAAACCTGATATATAAATAATTTTTAATAAAAAATATTATATGGTATTTAATTTTTTTTACATCACATTTATTCAAATATTAACCATATATTTTTTTTTTAAAACGTCTAGAGGATTAGATGTTGGAACTTGTCATCGAATCCAAGTGTTATTAAGACATCTAAGTTAATCTATTTTCAATTTTAGAAGCCCGAAATTTATAAAGCTATTATAGTGGTTTGTGTTATAAAATATAGAACATATTTTAATTAAACTTAACACACTTTCATTATCATGGATTGAACTAACCATTTATATTTTTAAATGAAAATATGAAATACTAAGTGTATTTGTATGCCAAAATGAATTTTAAAATTTGTCTATATTTTGCAGGTGTGTTAAACAGTTATGTATTAGTTGTAAATAACAACAGAAATTGATTACAATTTTAATTTATGATGATTTTTTATGTAATCAACTAGCCATGTCATTATTTTATTGTCAACTGCCAGAAAAGATTTAAAAATCTATCCCCTCTGTTTTCCACGTTATACTAGCAGCTGGGGACCCATTGTCAAAAATACACAGTAGATGACTCACTTTCCCCAGTGACGTATACAAATAACCTATTTTATTAGCCCATAATAATAATAAAAAAATGGTATATTGTAATTTCAAAAGACGATTCAAAGTTAACTAAATAATACTTACATTTACTAAAATTTAAAATTACTATGCGCTCATAAGTTCATTTTTTAAATGTTACAACAATATATTATGTAATATTATTCAGACTGACAAAGTTTTTTTTTTTAATTCAACAAGACAATTAAAAATTAACATTCTTATATTTTACAAATTCTATAATATGTTAAAAATAATATGTTAAAAATGACATACTCATTATTGTAAAAAGTAAATACTATCATTTGTCCAAATTTATACATTAATAAAATACATATGAATACCTCGAAAGGTCATAATTTTTGTCTGTCTGTTTTTGGATTGTATTAATGAGTAACAGCACAAAAATGGTAACATCCTGTACTAGTCAAACAATAATACTTGTGAACCCTTAATTAAACGTTTCTATATATAAACAAACTATAGTAATGTACACATCCGGTTAGGTTGTTAGTTCATCCCTTCTTACAGCAGACTTTAATTACCAACTATTATTATATTATTTATACTAAAAGTTTTTATTCTAAGTAAATAAATAATAAAAGAATATTTTATTAGTATTTTTTTTAATATTTCATTTTTTTAAATAAATATTGAATTTGGTTAAATTATATGTAAATATAAAATTTTACTTGATGTGAATATATAATTTTATTAATAGAAAAATTTAATTGAGTTTTAGAAAATAATTTTGTAAAAATTTCATGGTAAAAACTTATAATACTAATTTTGTGCAAAAAATTGTATTTGTCATTTCAAATATGAAACATCCAATAAAAATGTTATTGTGACCATGTGAGGTGGTGTTCTTAGATCTTTGTATATTTTACTGTTTTTGTCAAACTTATGTCAACTAATTATGCACAGATGTGTACTCCAATGGTACATTAAGTTTCGGTTGATTTGTCGATTTACAGACCACATACATCATTTTTTCAAAACGTTGTTTGAAGGGCGGCACTTCACTAACACAGGTCCATGCTAATTTTGGACTGTTGTGTGTTCTTTCCGCACCATGACTGATCAAAACACGTGCGCCGCAAGTCTTTCATTTTATAACTAAATATAAGCGTAATGTTAAAAATATTTATTAATTTTGTGCTAGTAAACGTTCACATGTGTTCTTACTTTTTATTTGATGACCTTACCCGATACTATGTTAACCTAATTACTCTGAACCGTCATCATTTTACACGTATCCTCAGTCAAAAGGGTCAACATATAATGTCGTGTAGTTGTCAGTAATTTGTCACAATTTATGTTGCACTCTCCAACCTAATTCCTTATATAATAAAATCTCTTCCGAAATTGCTTAATGTAATTGAATATCTTACCCATTTAGATTAATTTATTTTGACTTTAATTTATCACAAGCTTTAACTAACAGTGTATATGTTAAAAAACTAATTCAAATTTTATTTGGACTATTAACTTTTTTTTGTTTTTCAAACATTTTCTGTATAATTTAAGTTGTTATTTTAAAGAGTTAATAATGAAATATGTTTATCTTTAATAAAGCTATGTATCAAAAGCAACGTAAAACAAAATAAATAATTCAAATTACTAATATAGTTCTATATTATAAAATTTTTTAAGCATTCAAAAAATAAAATGAAATTACATTTTTGTAACTTTTTAAACTTAACATGTATAACAAGTTAAGCACTTTTTTATCAAATTATGGCCAAAAATTAAATAATATAAATGAAAAATTACAAAAAAATGTCTATAAACGTAAATTTTCAAACTATCAAAATTTAATTCTTTACGTGACAAATTGATTCACAATTCGTTGAAAAATTACAATACAATTTATTATATTATCACATACACTTATTTATGANTGTAACTTTTTAAACTTAACATGTATAACAAGTTAAGCACTTTTTTATCAAATTATGGCCAAAAATTAAATATTATAAATGAAAAATTACAAAAAAATGTCTATAAACGTAAATTTTCAAACTATCAAAATTTAATTCTTTACGTGATTCAATTGATTCACAATTCGTTGAAAAATTACAATACAATTTATTATATTATCACATACACTTATTTATGGAGTTTTGAATGACACGTACATTAATGAAGTTTATATGTAGTTAAAATTGCTAGTTTTCAGTTTTTTTCTATTAAATGTTCTGTTTTATCTATGTCACATATTTTACATATAATCCAGTAGCAGTGCATTCTATTTATAAATAAATAGATAAGGTTCTGACTTTAACGATTTTAAAAAATTACTATTATATATGAATATAAGGGGTGCATTTAATAGGTTTCAATGTCGATTAGAAATATAACGACGGTGAAGTTTTACTAGGGAGGCAACCATTGAGCATTGCCTCCTGGGAAAAATTATTTATTGCTATTTTCACTTGCAGGATTACTATAAAAATAATGCTATATATTTTTATTTGAAAAATATAATAACAATGATGAATAACAATCACGTGTTGTTCATTAAAAAAGTCGTATTTAAAAATGGATCTGCTATTAAAACAAAAATATTACTATGTTCTATACTAAAATCTTTAAAAACATATAAATAATTTAATTAAAAAAAAAACATATTTCAAATTCAATTAAAAAATACATAATAACTAAGTATAAAATGATATTATAAATATTATAATAGCTATTTGTATCTGTAGACAAGAATAATGTAATCATTACAAGTAGGCAATCTTAAAAATATTTGTATAGTAAAAAATTAATAACTGAATTTTTAATTATTGACTAAAAAACAGTTTTTTAAATTGTTTTATCTAAATAGTTTGATGATTGATACTAGGTTCTAATTAATCAGAAAAATGTTTAGAGCTAAGATAAAAAATTAATAAAAAACACTATTATTTAAGTACACTATTTAATAACATAGTAATTATATATATTATCCCAATCAAAAACAAAATTTGAGAGTGCTTATTTATTATATTATTTATTGTTAGATATTCAAATAGAAATTTTATGCCATATTTATTGAATAATATTGATATCGAATAAAATAAAGTGAAAATACTTAATAAGGCACAGTAAATATTGAATATTATGTTGTTTTTGAATATACCACGCTATCTAGTGTTGAATAAACAAATGATAAACGTTAGACAGCTCTCATAGAGATCTCATCTCATTTAAAGTATTTTAAAGACAAATTTAAGAATTTTTCAATGGTGATTCATGTAATTATTTTCATTTATTGTAAAGATTTGTAGCCTCGATTGTTATATTCACCATTATGTGATTTTTGCGTTTATGCATAACGTTTCTATACTCTCAACTAGACCGATTTTGCTAATTTAGACATCAAAAAATACCTGAATTTTTTCTAGTTGAACTTTTTATCTTCAAAAATTAAAAAAATTTTAGATGTATAAAAAAATATCCCAAGTTTGTAGTAATAAGGCCAATTTATATTTTTTTCCACCTTTATATTCACAAGAACATTTTTAATAAAAAGTTCTTTATCATTTTTTAAATAAAAATTGAATATTAATGAAATGTCTACGTTAATATCATAGTTTGAAATCTTATTTTTATTTGCATTTTTTCTTTTTTAAAAATTGCCGACTCAAATATTGATGCGTACGAGGCAGCTAGACCGTAGGACGGCTAGTTGTGCACCGCACTAGAATGCCGTTTTATCTTAAGCCTGTTTAATAAAACGTTAATATTGATGCGGGAGTGGGTCACCTAGGAGATGACGGCTAACTATACATCCTCCAATAAGTAATCGAGAGTAGACAATAATTAAATAACAAATAATCACATATATTAGAAATTCCTCAGAGAGTATCTTAAATTTAAGGGGTAACGGGGGGGCCCTTAAATACTAGTGGCCGGCGAAGCGACATAAAACATATAGTTAATCTCAATTAAAACAAACAATAAATAACATTAAAAATAATATAAAACTCAGCTGTATAGATGACGTTGTTGATGTTGATGAGTGGACTGTATGAGATCTTGTGGTAATGGTGTCGAACATCTGAGTATGAAGAGTCAGAGTGTAAATCCGGGCACGTAATGGCAGATGACAACAGAATACGGCAATGATAATGTTTAGTGATGGTCAGGGCCCAATCACTAGTGGCATGCAAGGGCACGTAAACTTTGAGCACAAGGGTGCAATAAACAAATAATAAGAAAACTATGGCGTACAACGGCCGAACAATTTACTATTCAAGCAAAGGCGCTTGCAACAGAAAAAAAATGACACGTAAAAACAATCGACTGACTGACTTATGACAATGAACTGTACACGGATGACAATCGACACGGAGGTCATCGATTTGACGTGATGGGTGGACAAGGGTGTGAGTAAAGCAAGATGCTGGTGATCAGCTGTCCCACGAAATAATATAATCAATGATCTTTGTAACAATTGATCAACTAGATTCTTCTAAAGGTGTTCTGTACCATACAAATATTCTAAAATTACATTAAATTTATGAGTTTAAATTTGATAGAATAGTTATTTTTGTTTATATTCTTACCCTTGAAATATAATTGCAGCTGACGTAGAAGTTTAGTTATAAGAACACATTTTTATTTTTATTTACTTACCAGAAATAAATAGCAAATATAAAATTAATAGTAGAGTTATTAAGAGTTTAACAATTTATTAACAATTCAGATAATTAAGATACAAACTGTTAAATTTCTGTCTAAAAAAATTTTGTAGTTTTTTTTTTTATTTATTTAATGTTATCCTCCTTTAAAAATTCAAAAATTCAAAAAAATTTCTTTCATATTATATCAGAAAAACTATTTGATAATTGGTAATGGGGCGTCCAAATGTCAAAATTCACTTGTAATAGAGCTTGTTTTTTACTAATAGAACAAGTTATGTAATAATGAAACATAAAAGCCATAAATCTACTGGTTCCTTTGCTCATTTTACCTTTACTAAATGTCTATGATTAGTAGTACTCTACTTGACCATATAAATCAATTTTATTGTTCATTTTCTAAAACAAAAGTTGAAAAAATTTAATTTTTCCATTTAAAAATGTTATAAACATAACAAGATTATGTTGTTCAAATATTTAAATATCTCAAATTCATTTTATCAAAAATAATTTATTTTCAAAAAACGATAGGTACGAGTGAAATTTTGATAAATGCATTACTAGAATAAATACAATGAAAATCTGTTAAATATTATACCATGTTTATTAAAATTAAATATTATACACGTAATAACTTATAATTAAATAACAAATTAAAACTAACAATACTATGAAATTTATTTAACTTGTCTTATTTCTACAGACATAGAGAACTGATTGACTAAATTCCGTCCTTTTAAACACAAGTACAGCTTTTCAAAGAGAACGTTGTTCGGTCTCAGAGTTGACTGTATAATACGTTTACTTTTTGCTATCTACTTAATAAGAACGAGATAAACCTTAAAACTTTTAACTTAGTGTGTAATACTTTATTTTGTATACACATTTTGGCGTGCGCGTCGTGCCGTCCTTAACGATGACGAATTCATCCTTTTATTACTATCACTACAATAAAAGAAACCGGTACGCACCGGCTAAACGCGCTTATCTTATACAATAACCCAGATAGCAAAAAAATATTAAAATTAAAATAATATTATTAAATAATCATTTCATTTTGATTAAAATTGCATTATAAAAATGTCATAAAAATATTAATTAGTTATCATTTGGCCACCAGAATAACATTTTAAAAATGTTAAAAATTTAACAATATTAAAATAATATAATGTTAAGGTTTAGTTAATATTATTCAACAATAATAATATAATGTTTATTTAAATATCTGGCTATTATTTATAATTATTAATAATTATTTTTGATAAAAAAATATAATTCTAACCATTAAACAAAAACTTATTTCGCATACCAATTTTTAAAATCAAATGTAGGTGTCCTAAGAAACTAAAAAATAAAATAAAATTCCAATACAACAAATTCAATAACACTTTATTATATTATATCATCACATTAAAACATTTTCTTTTTAAATTCTGATTTTATAAAATCAGAAAATACAACTTTTAAAGATTTTTAATAAAGAAATTAAAAAATTTTTACAAAAAGTAAAAGTTAATTTAAACAATATTTATTTGTAACTATACAATGTTAAAACAGCATCACAAAATAAATAGCCCATAATGTTGCAGACAGTGCTCGGCAAAGTATTTCTGTTTAATCTTGTCAATTCCATAATCTAAAAATTAAATTGATGGTTATAATCATTATAAAGATATACTAAAGAGTAAGCACCCAAAACTTTTGTTTATCCATTATAAATTGACAATTAAAAAATTAAAAATTAAAAAAAAAAAACAATTTTCAAGTTGAAAGTTTATTTTGGTGGTACTCAAATTAAACCCCATCAAGTTTCACTGCTGAAAAAACAAATGTGTTTAACTAATAAAAAAAGGACTTAAGCACCTATTTATTGATCTCGTACCAACTGGTTATTTAGTTTTTCTACAGTTACAAATTAATAGGGGTGTTATTTATTTTTAAACAAATTTGTTATAAAAATGACATTAAAGCACATGTTATATAAATCGAGGGAACTTTAATTAAATATAAGTAAAGAAATATTAAAAAAAAAAGTATACCTTAATAATAATAAAATTGAGTCATATTGGCCATTAATAAATAAGAAGAATACAAAACGTAAGATAACCCAATAAAAATGTGTAGATCATTACAAAATAGTCTAAACAAAAACAACTCATCAAATTTCACTTACGGCTTTTGTTTTGAAGGAGACATCAGTAAGTTTATATTCAAATATTTTTATGTCTTCCTCATTATTCAAGGGTAACAAAGAAGAAAAATCTTCATATTCTGAGTTGTCTTGAATATTGCAACTAACATAGCAAGAATTACCATTTTTCATCATACTTTCAGTATAGTTCATACTTTATACAACTACTGGTTACTTAGTACACCAATAAGAATTTTCCATTCTTTTAAAATCTTGTATATCTATGCTCTCTTATATTCAACACATCTATTTATACATTATATTCATAATCTTAGAATAACATGATTCTTTTATTTTGAGCTAATTATTATTTTAATAAAGGCTATAAAAAAAAAATTAAATAAAGAACTTGGAGAAATATTTAATAAACGCATACTGTCTAATCATATTATACACGTTTCAGTCATAAATCAATTATTAGTCACTTTTAATATTATTCTTTATCGAGAAGAAATCTATCAATTATACTTGTCATATTTTTACTCTAATCAAAATAATTAAACGCAATATGCCATCCCTAATCTTAAGTGTACAAAACTATATTAACGTTATATAAAATGTCAAAATGAATTGTATACTATCCATGTGTAATAATTTTTATATTTTATGCTTACTTATCAATAAACAATAACATTGTAAGAATAAGACAATGATGATTTTTGGGGATACAAAATATTAAAAAAGGCAGAGCAATCCTTTACAGTCTAGTCTATTCTAATCGCACACTCGACATCGTAACGTAATAATTGTGATCATCATTTTCGGAATTTTTACTCGTAAAGTTGTGAATTAAAAGTAAAATATGTGTTATTTTATTTATCAATTACTACTTAATACTGTCACTGAAGTTATTCTAAAAACAAAGAAAAATTATCAAGTAGATTTCAAATTAATAATAGTTAAGACTTACATTATTTAATAACTCTTAAATCACACCCCGAATGAAAGTAACTCTCATTTTATCATACACTCCTTTCAATTTTTCATATTTTAATATTCTATCATTATTTATTAAAAATAAATAAGTGTTTAACATAGAAATTTATAAAGTTTTGAGCTACTATATTTTTCGCGAGTACCGGATGGTCCGTGTTTTAGGCTATCACAAGAAAATTAATGTTAAGGTATTTTTATCCCTAAAGGGATAAAAAAAAAATTATTTAACTACATATTATTATAGAAATTTTAAATGATTCAATATTTTCCTTTACAAAAATAAAAAATGTTTAATAGTTTCAAAGAAAATGAGTGTCATATCCTTAATGAATCACTCTGAATATGACTTTACAAAACTAGATAAAAATTGGATATACATAATGTTTTTATGTTTAGTAAATTGCAGAGGTTTGAAGAAAATCAAAACAAAAGATTCAACTGACAAAGAAATCATAGCAGCTATTGGGAAATATATAACTGATTCAAAAAGAAGACTTGAATACTTTTCAAAAATTCCAATACTGCTTAAGTTACTTAATTTTAATCTTTTCATTGTAACAAATTAAACAATTATGAATTTTTTTTTAATAATTATAATAATTTACTATATTTTTTAAATTTACTACTCCCCCCAAAGACCACGCCATTCACCACCTCTCGAAGGATGGCGAATGGGTGAGGGGAGGGGTGACCAAAGTTCCCTATATTACACTACAGATGTTCTTTCAGGCAATATTTGAACAATGAACATGCGATGTACATCATACAAATTTTAACTATATTTGATAGTGTAAACTATTATACCAATAATTTAGAAACATACGTGGAAAACAAACCCGATGAGACGTTTTTGTTGGTGATTCCTCATTAGCTATCTAAACGATTTATTCAACCAATACAGGGAGAAATATGACAATGGATAATTGGTTTACTAGTATACCATTTATAGATGAATTTAAAAAAAAATGCTGTGATTGGAATTATTAGGTCAAATAAACGAGAAGTTCTGCCTTTATTTGTATCTGTCAAAAATAGGTTCATTTATGGAAAAAAAAAACACTAGTATCTTATAAAAATAATTAAAACAAATTTTGTTTTGTTGGCATCGTTTATGCATTATATTAATTCTATAGATACAAATACCGTCGATAAAAAAGCCCCGTTATTAGAACAGCGTATAATTCAAAAAAAGAAATTGTTGGTACATTTGATTGGATGGCTAAAAATTAGTATTGCTAGAAAAAGCTCTAAATAGTCTTTAACTATATTTTATACGTTATTATAGGAGAAAATTATGCTCATATAATTTTTCGCATAAACACCAAAACTACTATACAATTATTTATAAGTAATAATGCCACATATAATAATTAAAATAAAAAAAAAAATTGTATTTTTTACTAGTGACACTTAAAAATGTATTTTCACAAGTTCATAATAATGAGGTAAATTTTTACCTCACCCGAGTAAATGTGGTATCGGAAACCACATGAGTGGTCATGGGTTAACTATAATATGGTTTCGTAGAGAAAAAAAAAATGTAGTGTTTAATATTCTTGTTTATTTATGAATAAATAAAAATAAAGCTGAGTACGTTATTTGGAACGGATTGCGAAAATTTTTTTTTTTGGTCTTTGGAATTTTAACACCTTTTAATTCAAAAACTATTAGTGCCTATGGTTATGAGCGCGCAAGTGTATGTGTGTTTACCCATTATGTTCAACAACAGTTATGACAGTTTAAAAAATGTCTAAATTTATCGTCTTTAACAACTGTAATTTTTTGAGGGTTATTCCAGATTCAGTGACGAGGGAAATTTTTTCAATTATCAAATGTAATGTCTCCAACTAGATATAATTTGTGATCTTTTAACGTATTGTTGATTAAAATCGGTTTAGTGAGACTTCAGAAAAAGTAGTGACAGACATAAAAAAATATACATGTACACAAACACATCATAGTAAAATTAAATCCAACCTTCTTAATTTCTCATCAAACTAAAATATATACTGTATATTATTTTTATTTCTAATACTTAATTGTTTTTAGTCATTATAATGTCTAATTATTCAATTATATTCATGTAAAGTAAATAATAAAGTCTATTCAATCTTATATGTTATGTTCGTTACCAATAGAAATTAATTTCCATTAATAACATACTAAATATCTAAATGACTATATTAATTTAATTAATATAGTTATTTTTCATATATTATCATATTATTCGAATATAATATAAAAATATCCTTCAAGGTTTTTAAAAATGCTGCAGGTATATAAAAACATGATACTATATTGGATATTAATATTTAAACAATATTGTTGGTTCTAAAATCAATATTAAAAAGCACTTATATTTTCCAAACAATAATCGCACCACATTAATTTCTTTATTCTTATTTAAATTTGATTCTCACAGAAAATAATGGCAAATGTACAAAAATAATAATTTTAGTGTTAAAATATCATAAATAACAATAAAACAAACAGTGACGGAATATCTTTAAATATAATATTGTATTTATCAAAATTAAACGTTCATAAAATACATGTGTTTACAAAATGATCCAACTTTAACCTTCACATCTCTATATGATTAAAAATACTGTAAAAATGTATTTATTAACAAACGCATTTTTATTTATGTATATTTTGTTATGTTTAAGTATTTATCTATGTACACATACATCTATATCACTTATCATAGTAATTTATAAATAAATATCCTTAATCAAATAAGTTAAAATCATTAATATGAAACATAAATCTAATAAGATTAAATGATAAAGTCTGAGTAATAAAAATTGATTTTTTTTCAGATTAAAATAAACAAAAATGTAAAATATATAATACTAGACTTCGCATAGCTGGGGCCCTACGAGCCTCGCGCGCATTGAGCACGTAAGCCTCTTTGGCAACGCCGGTCACGATAAGTGTTTTACAGGAAAAATATTACATCAGAATCAGTGTAACAAAAATATATTAAAAATTTAATTAACCAAGAAAAATCAAATAGTGAATATAGTAAAATGTATTGGTTACTGTTGTTTCGAAACTGGTTCAATATGTATAATAAATAAATAAATAATTGATAAATACGAATATTAAAAATAGTGGACTGTATCGTTTTATTACAATTTACTTGTAAGCTGGCGATTTGTCCACGCACGTACGTAGATCGAACATAACTACTTCATATATTGGTCGGCGACCATCATTATTATAGATATCTGTTAATAGCGTGACNCTGGCGATTTGTCCGCGCGCGTACGTAGATCGAACATAACTACTTCATATATTGGTCGGCGACCATCATTATTATAGATATCTGTTAATAGCGTGATAACGAGCGCGAACAACTGTGATTTGACGTTGGACAGCATAGTTGTCATAGATCAGGGATGGCGAACCTTTTTGTACTAGTTTGTCAAATAAAAACTTTAGTTGGATTTTGCTTTCCCTGCGTGTCAACTAGTTTGATAACCCTTTTTCGTACTTAAAAATTCCTACATCCATGGTTTGAATGATAAATAACAAGTCAAATATTACATTATCAAAAAACAATTTAAATATATTAGATACCAAAAGTATAAGTAACACGTAAATATGTAAAAAAATTTAATTTATAAAAAATAAAAAATATTGAAATGTTAAAATATAAAATTGTTATACATGCATTTTTAATGAGAAATTTGTTGCTGCATTTTATTGGCTAATGAATCAATTCTTGGACTGTAGTTGGTTGATTTTAGTTGAAAACATACTTCACTTAAATCTGTTCCATAACGATTCCTTACAGTTAACTTAATAAAATTCAATGAAGAAAAAAGCTCCTCACATGCATAAGTAGATCCAAACATTGTTAATAAAAAGAAAGTTAGTTTTTTCATAGAAGCAAATTAATTTAGAAGACTTTTCCACTCATTAAGAATCAAATTTTCCGATTTAACATTCCTATCAATTTCATGATGATTATTTTTCAGCTCATTATTCTAATTAATAAATTTATTTCTCCAAATATTATTTCCCTGAAATTCTATTAACTCCATTTCTAAATTTTCAATACTTAATCACTCAAAAAATCTAAGTTCAAGTTCGTCAAATTTAATACTATGTGGATTTATTTAATTCTAAAGTTGAATCTAGATGACAAAATTTGGAAAATCTGCTTGAAAATAGTTCGTATACATTTTTTAATATTTTTATATATTTTGTTATTATTTATTTCATGTCAAGCTGATTATCTTTAAAATTTTTTGAATTTATTCATTGTTTTTTCAAATAAGGAAAATATTTCAAGTTTTCATTTTATAGATCTTTACAAAAAACTTCAATTTTTTTCCAAAAATTTTAATATTATCAAACATAGTTAAAACTGTTTGACCTCAGACTTGAAGTTTTTTATTTAAATCATTATACATTGCAGCAAAATCTGTGAAAACACATCAAATCATTCAACCAATTTAAATCAGTGAGATCAGGATAATCTTGAGATTTGGCCGACAAGAATAAACGTACTTCTTCCAGTAATTCAACAAATCGATGAAAAACTTGCCCGCGACTCAACCATCGAATACTATTATACATAAGAAGGCCAGAGTATTGCGACTTGACCTCTTCTAATAATTTGGCAAACTGTCGGTTGTTTAAAGCTCGAGATGTTATGAAATTGATAATTTTTTCAACAGTTTCCATTACTTTTTGAAGCGATTTCATACTATCTTTTGCACACAACGCTTCTTGGTGTATAATACAGTGAAAGTTGATGATAGGATGCGACATTTCATTGAAAAAAAGTTCAATAAATCCATTGTGTCGTAATATGCCTAATGCTTTGCATTGCGCATCTTACATTTATCAATGAAAAATGTATAATCTGTATTTTATATTACTAGTATATATACAAATAATTAATTTATTATTTATTTAAATTGAACAAAAAGTGCTAAACGAGCCTGAGAAGTTACATCTGTACTTTCATCAAGACAAATCGAAAAAAAGTCTGCTAAAGCTAAATCAGTTTGAAGCTGATTTGATACATCGTCACTCATTCATAAAATTCTTTCTTTAACAGTATTTCTACTAAAAGGTAAATCTTGAATATGTTTTATTATTTCATTTTTATTCGCAAAATCATGAAATAAAGTATTTTATGTCATTAAAAAACTTCTTTAATGTATTATCCATCGGAAACTGGTTTACCATGTTGTACAATACAGTGGGATACAAAAAAACTAGCAGCTGTTAAATTATTATTTGGTTTAAATGCAGCTTTGAAATTATTTGATTGATTTTTAAAACATTTCAATTTTTGCGAAATTAATTCCAACATTTCTTCAGTTGATAAAAAAAATATGTCCGTATGAATTGTTTTAAAATGTCTTTTTACATTAAAACTGCGACTAACTACTGTTTCATTACATAAACAACATAACTCTTTATTATTTTTTTGAACTAACCCATAATCTACGGTCCATTGTTCGTGAAATGATCTTCCACTTTTACTTTTTGACATCATTTATTAAAAAATATAACCTTTGAATTATTATAAAAATAACACTCACCAATAATGAAAACTGCCAAAACCATACATTCAGACAAATCAAAGGCAACGATAAAATTTGACAAATGAAACACATTCGATTCGACGAATGAGTAATGACTAACGCTAGCCGTGGACCAGTTTTACACATTATATCCGTTATAAAAATATATACCTAATAAAGTTCTTACCGAATAAAATTTTCTTATCGAAAAGTAATAAAATAAATAGTTGCTGAGCAGTGTAGATATTCAATTCAATGCGTGTAGGTATAATACCATAAACTTAATACTTCATTGTGGTAATCTCAATTTATTTTAGTCTACGTCCTACGAATAGTGGTATTTGAAGACAAACTTTTACACAGTCACTAAAATAGTGTGCGCGTGTCATAGGTTCGCCATCTCTGTCATAGATGGATCCCAATTTTTACGATTAACTCATAGTCTTATACGTCATAAATGAGATATGTTCAAAAGTTATGTGTGAGCCCGGTCAAGCTCCAAGTAGCTTAAAATCGCCCAGTACTCCTCTGGTCGCAATGATATCAATCGTGTCCGGCACTACCGGTACCATGCTGTCATTACGTTTGTGTCCGCTGTTGAAGTTAGATCGTACCGTTGAGTCCAATGACTCGTAGCCAGTGATTTGGCATAGTTTTCTTTTGTTGGGTTTATGTCGGCCTGATAGGCGAAGCCCCAACGTACGTTTTATTAAATACTCAATCCACCTTTGGAGTTGATATTATTAGCGTTCAAACACCGGTGGTGTTCTTCTGTTGTTTGGTCCGTTCGTGCGTCCTGTCGCTGGGAAATTTATCGTAACAGGCATGGTTGTTAACGTCATCCAAGAAGTATTTGTTGTGAAGAGCTCTAAGCATCGCAATATCACGTGGCGGAGGAAGTATCAGATGGCTGGATGATGTTACTCCTTTTTTTTTTTATGTTAATGTTTTTACTATATGTAATTGTTTAATTTATATATGCGTAATAGAATCATGTCGTTAGTTAGAATAGAATAACATTTCTTTAGTTAATTATTCGATTATCAAGTAAAACCCCCGACCCGTCATTTATATTAAGATAACTAACTTAACGTTTATAAAGTCTTGAAATATTCACTCTGGGAATTAGAATTTCATTATAATATATTTTTACAAGATAAATAAGATTATTAATACTGTACTATTCTAATAATGAATGTACATTCCTTGACATAATATACAAAANATGAATGTACATTCCTTGACATAATATACAAAATATAAGGCTATGCGAAAATGCAAAATAGTATTTTAATATAAATTCTGTGTGGACAAAAAAAAGTTCCAAGCGAAAAAAGTACAATTGATCAGTAAGTTAATTATAAAACTAAAGATAAATATAACAATAAACAGCATTAAATTTATCAACAAATTTGTATTACAAATATATTTAAAAGAAATCGATAGAAAGTATCTCAGTAAAATTATACTTAATAAACTAAACATAATATATAAAAATAACAAACATAATTTCAAAATAAAAAACGGTAGCACAGTGGAGTCGAGGCACAGTGTAGACAAGGCATAGATGGGACAAGTATAGATGATATTTGACAGTGATTAAAATCACTATCATAATAAACGCTTCGATACAAGTCTGTAAATAGTGTTTCATTTAGAGAAATTGGTGGATTATTCCAAAAGCAACATCAACTCTTATTATATTGATTATACCCTAATTAGTAGTTCTTTGATTTTAAAATATAATATATGAATAAATGCTAATTATTATTATTAAATTTAGTATCATAATTATGATAATGTATGATAATGAAATACATAAAATAAGTATGATAATGAAATTGATATTCAATAATTTAATATTGTAATTTAAACGGAGAAATTATAAAAACAATAAAGAAGTTGTATTTTGCTTTATCTTTACGTAGATAAAAATTTAAAGGGCTTGATACAATAAATTTCAATAAAAACTGTTTGTTACTATAAATAAATGCACTGAACTACAAGGAACTTTAATCAGTAACAAAAATATACTATTCTAAATCAACTTTTCGCGATGTTTTCAAATATGCAATTAGACTTTTTCTATCACTTCTAAGTTTTAATATTATTAAAAATTAGTATTGACATATAAAAAATTCGCATCGAAGCTAAAAAATTGGCTATTTAAGCTAACTCAAATTTAAAAATTACTTTTTCCACTTTAAAAAAATTAATAAGTTTAATTTCTTACGTCTTATGAACTTTATTCTGTGTCAATTAAATTATATAATATTCATGAAAGTAAATATATTCTCCTAATACGATATTTTAAAATAAAATAAAATACAAAACCTAGAATTTTAATAGAAAAATAGCATATTTTTGAATACGGTAGCCATTTGCACATAGTAGATAAGGTAACAGACACAAAAAAAAAACACATCATGGTAAAATTAATACCTTCTCAGCTTCGCATCGAAGCTAAAAATTGTTAATAAACTAACACAATCAATTTATATATGACAGCAACAACATATATTAATAATCAGTTGAATAGAAAATTAAATCGTCATAAAAATTCATTTTTTACAAATTAACCCATTAATGCCCAGCGTTGCGTAAACGAAACATTTAAAAAGTAATTTTTCT